ACTTTTAGATAAGGCAATAATAGATGGCACTCGTGGTGGTAGTTAAACAAGTTATATTTATTGAGTTTAAACGTGAATATGTCTATGAAAGATTGTATTACTGTACTGTGATAAAAGAGAATCACAATGCTGAAAAAGCATGTTCAGAAACAACGTTTGGATTTGAAATCAAAATAATGGATAAATGTTGTGGACACGGGATTTTTTTTCTTCTGCCATATGTCTATCCTAGAGACATTTTGTTACACCTTTACTTAGTGATTATTTTGCCTTATGTCTGTTCTAGAGACATGTTACAGCTTTTTGATAAAGCTCTAATTGGTTTTCTTTTGGAAATATGTTTCAAATTCATTTTTAAAAAAAGCATATCTTAGACAGAATCATCATTTCTATTCATTGTCCACTGATTTACTGATGAGCATTAGCTGCTTCCAGCAGTGTCTGCCTGTTTTCTCTTCCGCGATCGCTGTACTGACTCAAATGTCAGTCAAATGTCAGATCATATTCATAATACGCCTTGTCTCCGCTGACCAATATCCACACTACACGACCGAGAAGGCATCTTACGTGACCATTCATGCACACTGTAGCGTCATGCTACACAAGACAATTTATAAGATTTAATACTACGCTTTTACTCAAAACTCACTTCAAACCACCATTGAGTGTTTGTAATAACTTCCGATTGTGATATAATGTGATATATAATGTTGCAGAATAGGCAGAATATCATGAAAATCACATACAAATCATATACGATGTCGTAATCGTGTGTTTATTAGCTTCATGTTTCATCTGTGGAAATGTTTTTCTTCTGTATGAAACTGAATGTCTCCAGAAACCTTATAGGATAACACCAGTAAAATAAAGTGGCCAATTGTCAGTAATTATGCAAATCACATGCAAATACTGACAAGCAGACAAGATGTAATCTCATAATACTATCTAATTAATATTAGGGCTTATTTGTTCCATCATATTTATTTGAGTCTTTACAGTGTTGTGCGTTATAAGCAATCACACACGATTCCGTTGAGTTTATGAATGCAATGACCAATCAGAGGCTGAAACACCGGAGTTTTGTTTTTCAGTGCGCGCGCTCACTGAATGAATTCTGCTCTCTCGCAAATTCTCTCATCATAAACTACAAAGTGCAGATGTACGTGCAATGTATTTAGAGATTTATTCATCATACAGTGTAGATGTATTACATACAGCTTCACTGATTATAACGGGAGGGTTTTTAAAGTTTATAAATTCGCACTAGACTGAAGTCAGTGATAATGTTCTTTGATAATTTAAATGATTTTTGTTCATTTTCTGTAGCTGCTGTTTGAATAACTGAGGAAATGTAAGCATTATAATTAGTAACTTAAAATCTTTCTATTAAATCATGTTAAATACAAATTCAGTCATATTAAAAATATTTGATATATTTAGTTAATAGATAACACTAACATTAGGCAGCTTTTAGCCCTACCCTGGAGTTGGCTCACTCTCTGGCTATGAAACTAAGTAAGTAATTAAATAAATTAACATGATAATATCGTGTATCTGTGATTTCACAGGCTGACGATAGGACGATATGACTATGGAGCATATCGGCCAACACTACTCAATGGTATCGAGGCAAATCGGTCGGTGCCTAAAAAAGTATTGAATTCGATACCCAGCCCCACTTTTAAGTACTAATATGTAACTTTAAGGTACTAATATGAACCCTTTAGGGATATAAAAGGTGTGCCTTTTGAAAAAGTACCACCCCAGTGACCGCCTTTGTTCCTAATGTTACCTTGCTGTCACAACAATACTATGACCAAGTAAAAAAGCAAAATTATGTCTTTTTTCAAGTCTGAGCTGATGTTGCTACGTCACTTTTAACTGTTCATGTGAATGATCTCTCTCTCCTTTTTCCTGTTTCCCCATGTGTCCCTGTAGTGTGGAGGAGATGAGAAGCGAGTGGATAGCAGGACAATCTATGTAGGACATCGGCCATGTCCGGACACTGTCATCCCCTCTAAATTCTGTGACAACAGGATTGTGTCCTCCAAGGTAACTTCTGGTATTTTGTTATTTGTTATACTTCACCTCGTCACAAGTCTGAAAGCACAAGCTGGGCTGTTGCTTAACCTCGCTGCAGTGTAATCAGATTTTTACAGGATAACAGCATTAAGGGTTTGCTAGCTCCCTACAAGAGCCTGTTTGTAATTTTCTTTAGCTCATAATTAGCGAGTGTTGTTTAATGCCATGGCAACTGCACCACAGCATTAACACATGAGAGATGCGTATTAGCAGCCGCATGTGGAGAGAATGGCTGCAACACGCTTCTCTCAAGCCCTGGTGTTCAGCCACCTGTTCCTCCAGGTGTGAAGAGACTGTTGGGACCCCCCTACAGCGTTTGAACTTAGAAATTCCTTTCCATTTTCTCTCTTTTTTTTTTTTCCCCCCTCTGTTTTTTCATAATTGTCTCTTCGCAAACTGCAGTAAATCTTACCACCCCCTTCCACCCCACAAAACTCGCTAATTTGCCTGTCAGAGCAGTGCTTGAGATCCGGCTGATAAATACATAGTTGCAATTAACGCTCAAGTGTTCAGGGTGGTTGACTCTGCCCCCCTTAATCTTGTGGGACTTCCTGAATCTCCTCATTCAGTCAATAGATGAGAAGTGTTTTAAGATACGAAAGGAAGAAACAAGGGAGTAAGAAGTAATAGATTTATCAGACCTGTGGCCATGCTGTGGTATCCAGTGATCAATTCCTCTCTGGCATGAGGCTCTAAACACACTTTAATTACCTGCACTGAGATGTTTACAATTTTCTATGCATCTGCTTTGCATCTTCCCCCTTCTAACTCACAATAACCTTTTCTCCATGGTATCCCTTGGACCCTGTTTTTCCTCTAAAAGAGGTCCAGACCTGCCACAGCTTCTCGAGTTTACCTCAGTATAACATCTACTTTGTTAGAAATGATGATGTATCCCCCTTTATCTTATTGCAGGTGCCCCAAACTGCCCTCTCTCACTTTCCTCACCCATGGCGATCCATTATTTAGCAGTGATGGTTATATTAGGTGGCAATAGCTGTCCACATTCCAGTTATTTTTCGGTCTTTCTCTCTCTCTATCTCCCCTCCCACATTATCCAGTCACTATCTGCATTTATTTGGCTTATTGGGTAGCTGAAATTCAAGCAGCGTGACATGCTATACTCCTGCCAGAAAAAGTGCATTTTTCATTGTATTATACATTTTATAAAATGATACAGCTTTCCTACTTTTTCCATGCCATACTATTTTTTTTATACATATATTTTTGTTAAATAGAAATAGTATAATATAGTATATTATTGTATATTAAATCTAAAATTATATTAATATTTTTATTAATGTGCAAAATGATAAACAGGCATGGCATCAATGAAAAATATAAAACATTTTCCTTGTATGTTTGTATTAGTTTCAGCCTTAAATGTTGATGTTAACTGGTATTTGTGAACTAGTGCGCTTATGCCGTCGCGTCCATTTCAGAAAAGAGAGGTGAATGAATAGCAGGACACTGCCAAACGGATCATGTGGCAGGTTCCCCTTTTCTGGGGTTCGCCGAACGAAGTCGATAAGACGCTAATCCAAATCAATGTAATACCTGCTGACCCAGAGAGCTGCCACCCGGTCACACACATCAGAGAGCTCCGGAGCCATTGAAGTCATCTCAGCTCCCTCTCCCAGAAAAGCACAAACACGGGAGCTGATGAATATTGAATGCATTTAATCCTTCCTCCAGCTTTTCATCAGGTTGTGGATTTACACTCGCATTGCTGTAAAGGAATAGTTCACTTAAAAATACAAATTCAGTGTGATTTTGCAAAAAGTCCATTCTGCTTTTCCATATAATGAAAGTGAATCGCAACTGTGGCTGATAAGCTTCAAAAATGACAAAAAGCACCATAAAACTAATTCATGTAACTTGTGCGCTATATTACGAGTCTTCTGAAGCCATATAATAGCTTTGTGTGAAGTAGTGAGTATAAATGATGACACAATTTTCAACTAAAAGTAATTGACAGCTTGTTGGTTTTTGAACTTGTTACTGTTTAACACTTTTTTTGTTGTTGTTGCTTTGTTTTCTCACTTCCTCAGTACACAGTGTGGAACTTCCTGCCAAAGAACCTATTCGAGCAGTTTAGAAGAATTGCTAATTTTTACTTCCTCATCATATTCTTGGTGCAGGTAAGTGAGTGCATTTGATCAGTCATAAGCGTTTTCCATCCCCAGAGAGTCAAACTCTGTGTGTGTGAGAGGATGCGAGTATGTTTATGTGTGACTCATAGCCAGGCTGTATCTGCCCCATGCTGATCTGATGTCATTGGACCTGTGATAATGGCAGAGAGAGTGAGACAGCGAGACTGGAAAGCCTCTGCTCCGCTCCATAAAAGCACATGAAGACGACCTTAGTTAAACTAGCGAGTGGAACCGTGTAAACGGCTGATGCGGTTTAGACAAGTGTGTGTATTTAAAAAAGGGTAATGGTGGATTGCTGAAGAGCATATGGTCTTGTTTGCTGTCATGTAAACAAGGAGTGAGAAATTACATGCACGATTTGACACCTCACTTGGCAGCTTTTTAAAAACGTGTGAGATTGAGGCTAATGTCTTATGTGGTTATGACTGTGTCTGAAACCTGCAAATGCTGCATTCTCAGGCAGTATATGGAGAAAAGGCAGCATCAAGGCAGTACCATTCAAAGGTTTGGGATCAGTACGATTTTTAATGTGTTTGGAAGTAGTCTCTTATGCTCACCAAGGCTATTTGATTAAAAAAAATAAAAACCGTAATACTGTGATTTTTTAAGTTACTGCAATGTTAAATAACGGGTTTCTGTTTTAATGTATTTCAAAATGTTATTTATTCCTGTGATGCAAAGATTAATTTGCAACAGCCATTACTCAAGTGTTCAGTGTCACATGATCCTTCAGCAATCATTCTGATATGGTGGTTTGCTACTATAAAGAAACATTTCTTATTATTTTCAGTGTTGAAAACCGTTGTGCTGCTTAATATTTTTGTGGATACCATGATACATTTTTCAGGATTCTCTGAGTAGAAAGTGCAAAAGAACAGCATTTATTTAAAATGGAAATGGATCAATTTAATGCAACTTTGCTAAATAAAAGTATTATTTTCTTTCAAAAAATTCTTACTGAGCCCAAACTTGAATGTGATCATATAGGAATAGGTACTGGAAAATAAAATTTTTGACTGGTTTTGCTGGCTTATTCACAAATGTAAGAACTTATAAGCCAATTCTTTTAATGAATGTATCAAAAAGACTCTCAAACTCGGTTTGAAACATGAATTTGTGGTCATTTGAAAATACAAAAAAAGCATCTGACAGATCTTTTGAAATCAGCAAATTCATAGATAAAAAGTTTACAGAAAAAAACTTTTTGAATTCAATTCAGTATCCAGTATCTCTCTCTAAACTAAGCATTGTATATTATGTGAATTAAATGTTATAGATCATATAGATTTGACATTATCATGCTTAACGTGACATTATGGTTCTAACAAGATGCCTTCTTACTAAAAAGCTTTAGTCGTTGACTAACTAAACAAAGCAATGTCATTCTGTTTCGTCCACAGCCTAAACACGTGCATCTCACAGTATATCTTATGTGCATCCATGTTGTGACGTGATGTGTGTGTGTGTGTGTGTGTGTGTGAGCGAGAGCGAGAGAGAGATCCCCAGGTGTTTGCCCGGTTCTGGCATGCGTCTGGCGTGCCTCTACTAATCCTGCTTTTCTCTGGAGGGGCTCCTTATCCTCTCTGACTAGCTCTCCCCACGCAGCCCACTATTATAACTGCACAAGGGAGATACACACGCGCGCCTGTCACACAAGAACAGCGCTTAAATCACCAGCCTCCAAATAGAAGCGCGTGATTCTCCTGAGGCCCTTTACAAATGCACCATCATCTTACGCCCATTTCTGTCTCCCCATGTCTTCATCCTGCCATTTTTTTGTTCCTCACCCCCTCTCTTTTCCTCATTTCTTTGTTCTCCCCCCTTCTCTCTCTCTCTCTCTCTCTCTCTCTCTCTCCTTTCCCTGTACGCCTCTGCAGCACAGCACTGCTGCTGACGTCAGCAGCCAGGAAGCCCTCTGTAGTTCTTTCGAGCCACAAATAGACACTGACTGATAAAAAAGCACCAGTATGCTAAAAATAGCACTGCGTGCCTTCACCAGGGTCCTGATGGGAAAAAAAAGATGGGAGGAGAGGAGGACATAAGGAGGGGAGGAGTCGAGGGGAATCTCTGTCTCTCACACGCACATTTTGACACACATTCTGCTGGAATGTTCAAAATACCTGTGTGTGTGTGTGTGTGTGTGTGTGTGTGTGTTTAGGGATTGCGCTAACAAGCAGTCAGTGTTCAGCCGAGTGGAAGTGCATAACCATAAAGAGGAAACTAGCACATAATCTTGAGTAAACGCTATAGAATGAATTAAATGAGGATGTTTTTTTTTAGGGGTAATTTCTACCAGGTGTCTGTTAGAGATCACTTCACTAGAGTAGAGAGCACTATGAATTGTTCTTCACGCGCACAGGAACTGAAATTTAAAACTGTTAAAAGAAAAGGCTCAATAAACTATCGCACAGATATAATACACTACACATCAAAATCTCTTCCCTTTGTGCATTGAACTTTTCTTTGCGGAGCGCTGCAATTCTGCGCACGGGATGCGCATAAGCGCTTTGTGCCACTCCGTATACAGGGCTCCAGAGTCATTCTTCCCACTGGTCGCTCTTTGCGACTAACTTTCTCAGTTGGTCGCACTAGCACATGATTTGGTCGCAATATTTAGTTATTTAGTTATTTATTTTGCACTACAACATGGGATTAATCAATGCATGCTGATGAACTTATATCATAGTTTAAAGTTATATGGAAACAGAAGTGGTTAACATTCAACCCGTTCTTTTTCATCAGTAGTATTTGTGATTTGAATTTTGTGAATGGGAGTTCTTTTGCTGTGTTATAAGCCGGGCTTGGGGTGCTTTCACTTTCACGAATTTGCAATCTTGTTGTAAAGTTTTACAAGAAAATATAATTGTCTGTTTTTCTTACATGCATCTACACACCTTTCACTTTTTAAGACTAAAACAAAAGATGGATTCATTGTTATTCTTAATTAAAAAGCACAACAACAATAAAACAGTAAGATACACTGACAAACTAGCTTACAAAACGTTTATTAACCAAAACGAATAAGATGAGGCATGGCATACACCACATGCTGTATTATATACCCACTAATGACTTACAGAACGTTTAGCAAACACTGAGGAATCAAATAAAAAATAAAAATAAAAGAGCCTCCATATCGTAACGTGAGGTAAACGGCAAAGATAAGAAGCTTTTCAAAATGAAAACAAAAAGAAAAGTAAAACTAAACTTGTTGTTGGTGACAGTTCTTGCATGTTTTTTTTCCCATAAGAATACCAACATGTTCACCTTCTCCGGTTTAAGAAGTGGTCTTTTACTTTACTTTAGCATGAAAACCATCCATCAATTCCTCAATATTCGCGTCATTTTTGCTGTGCGCACCTTCGCGCTCGCGCTGACGCGGCGAGTATAAACCATTCTCTACACTCGAAGCGCTGCACATAGGAAAAATGCATTAAATAGCGAAGTATTTCTGGGGAAACTTTTTCAAAGGAAAACACACACACACACACATCTCTTTGCTGAGCAGCGGCGGTCTCGGTGAATCAGCAGCATCCACGACTGAATGGAACAAAAAGTGTTGAACTTGAAATTTGCTTATGCGCGAGTGCACTTGCTGATTGAAGGCGGATTGTATAAAATGGATTTAAAAAAAGTTTTATTACATCACGCGCTGGCACAGATGCAGTATATTAACGCCACGGGTCATCAATAAGGTGCAGATTGGTCCTCAATTTGTGTTTCCAAAACACTTTTTCACAGCACGCATCACGCGCTCAAACTCATCAAAAGTCAAAGAAATCCAAAATTTACCTTAACATATTAAGTTAGAGGAAGATGCGACTGAATTGATGCTTGAAGAATGCGCTTCCAGCAGCCATGATAAACAGTTAGCGGTTAAAGTTTTCTATGCACAATTTGATTTGACGAAAGTCACGAGACCCATTACTATCTATCCAATCACGTTGATGGATAAAAATAAAATTAAAATAAGCATGTAACGACCACAAACGGAGGAAAATAGCGGAGTAAAAGTACCGATACATCACTTAAAGTACACAATTTTTAAACTACTCAAAAAAAGTACAATTACTGATTAAAAACTACTTAATTACTGTAACGTGAGTATTTGTAATTCGTTATTTCACACCCCTGGTTATGATTATATATTTTTTAATTTGTTATTTTTCTTTATAATGAAGTTGTCTATGTTTAGTAGATGTGTGTAATACACAAAAGAGTGATGATCAGGTCAACACACACTGAGGTATAGAAAAAAAAACAAACCTGTGCTGGTATCGTATCGGTATCGTCCGATACTCAGAACTTTTGGTATCGGATCGGGATCGGTTCTGAAAAAATGGTATCATGCCACCCCTAGTTTTTTTGTGCAGATATTTTAGCGTAGACGAATGTGAAGGATGGAAAGAAGTACAGCATGTACAGTATGATTCATTGATTCTTTATCAAACTATTCTGAACTGTTTAGAATGTTAATTTTAAATTAGTTATTAATAATTCTAGTTATTTAAAAGCATGTGCAGGGCAAAACATGATGCCTATAAATGCCATGCCAGACTGTAATGCTTCAAAAACGTAACAGAGGCGCATCTGCAGTGGCATCTGTACCACAAAACTCTGGTTTTGTTGCAGGACTCAGATTTTACAATAGACCTAAAGGGGGCTTGTACCATACAAAAATGTTTTATTGTTTTATTGTTTTATTGCACAATATAGTTAGTTTCATTTTATTATTTGCATTTAGAGTTTTTTTCCCTGCGGCTGAGATGAGAACAGACCAACAGAACAGATCTGTGACCCACCAGTTGAGGAAACATTGGTTTACACTGTGCAAACACACACACAGGTGGAAGCCTGCAGATACATTTTAAAGTCAAGGACAAAAAGTCTCAATAAACGTTATTTTACGACATCTTAAAGCAACCAACCGACATTATGAATTCCATGAACTATATATTTAACTGTATATTTATTAGGGCTGGGCAAAA